GCCTGACGCGCACCTCTTCAAAAATGTAACTACATGTCGCGACGACGCGGACCGCAAGATCGGCGATTAGTCGGCTTGGTAGCATCGCATTTCCTCCTACGCATTTCCGCACGTACCTTCTCACGCATTTCCACACGTACCATCTCCTCCGACGTCTTCTCTCATTTCTGCCTTTCAGTTTTAGTAATTTCACTAAAATTAACTGTTTTTCCACCTCAATAAGCTCCAACTCCAACATGATCTGCTCTCTTTCTGTCACTATTGCTTGTAGTAACCTAACTGCGAGGAATCTAAACACAGTGGAACATTAAAACCCTCTGCCGCCAACTAGCGTTTCGGAGCAGTACTGCAGAGCAACCAAGACCTGAACGCAGAAGTATAAATGCTCACAACGGCGTCGCCTACGTGCGTAACCAACGCCGTACACTACGGCGTACCCTCGACGCAGAAGTATAAATTGGCCTTAAGACCCGTTCACACTCGATAACTATATTAGCGTCAACAGCAGGTGGGCGACATCGTTCTGTTTATTATAAGCTTGTGCTGTCGTTTTGTCGAATGTCACATTAAATGCAGCATGGATTCTGTCAATATTTTTATCGTTAATCATCTGGGAAAAAAACATTCCTCTGAAATTGATATCAGCAACATTGTTTCTCTGCGCCTTATTGTTACAATTGTGGCATGAACTCTGCAGTTCTTTTACATTGAGAATATGGTTATCATAGTCATCGTCCTTGGCGTGATTTTAGCCAACAATATGTGCAAAGAAAAAATCATTTTTGCGTACCCATACAAACAGGGCTTGACTAACTTTATTGGTCACCATTTATTGGGGGAAAGCTGCCATATAGATATTTTGAATATTATCTCATAATTGGGCTGCAGAATTATTAGGCTGCTGTCACTTTAAGAGCAGATGCACTGATCCATTATACTGTTACACACGTGTTTTCTTTCTCAACTGTTTATGTTCACTTAAAACAACTGATTGTGTTTACGTGAGCGCAGGGAATGAGTAAAATTATGTGCGAAACTCAAGCCCGCCTCTCCTCACTCCTCGTAACACAGTCTTATCCCAAAAAGTCATATAACTGACGTCTTGGGACGTTTTTTGACCGTACGTCAATATCCGCCTTTTTAGGGCCCCCTTAAACGTCGGTAGATGGCGATCCCGGGCCGTCATACAACTGACGCTTTACCTTTAACGTCAGTTAGGTGACGGGTTAGGTTTAGGGTTAGGTTTAGGTCTGGGGTAGAGTTAGGATCCCATAACCTCATCTACCGACGTTTAAGGGGGCCCTAAAAAGGCGAATATTGACGTATGGTCAAAAGACGTCCCAAAACGTCAGTTATATGACGTCTTGGGATGAGACCGGGTTGCTCCTCGAGTGAGACTGCAATTGAAAAATGTATATTATATTATCTAAAATCATTGGTGGTGCACATTGAACCAACCAATGCTTTGAGTTTAGGGCGGGACTGTCTGTTTGATTGGCCAATGGCAGATGGGGGGAGTGTCCAGGAAACCTTTAAGGAAACAGTTATTATTTTTTTACACTGCCACTACTAGAGCAGAAATCACATGCTTCGACTGTAAATGTGACATCTCGGTTATATGACATCTCGGTTGCGCACGAGTGCTTTCCCGTGGAAATCTGACCCCCTGACCATCGAGTTTGTTGTTTTATTTCTTCTCTTCATCCATTCATTTCCTGTTCTCCGCTCACTCGGAGCAAAGACTGCTGAGCCCAGTGCTGCATAGACAGCGGCATCTGGAGATAAATAATTCCTCCGTCGCTCCTCTCCTCTCGTCCTCGCTCGCTCGCTCTGCCCCGTCCTGACCTTATGGATCTGTTTTGAGCCGTGCCAGATTGTTGCTCAGGACTCTCGCACCTAGAAAACAGCGGAAGGGGGAGGGGTGCTGTCTTTCTCTCTCACCTCATATCCGTCTCTCTCTCTCTCTGTCGGTCTACTCTTTCCCACTGCCTCTATCTAATTTCTTTCCCATCACCTTCTATTCTTGAAAGAGCCGACGATACCCCCCTCTCTCGTTCTGTTTTTCATGGTTGTTCTCTGACTGACCCTCAGGTGTGTGACAGTTTCAGTGGATTGCATCAGCCTCCACACTATAGTCACTGACAAAATGCGATATAGCACCATGTAGGGCTGGGCGATGTGATGGTATATACTGTGCGTTGGTAGACATGTATCAGCTTTTACAGATTTTGCATGAGCGGTGTAGCTGTATTTACACGGGCAGGACTGCGTTATGTTATTAATATTTACACATGGGAGCAATGAGAATATATGGAAAACTGTCAGTCAAGATGGCCAAGAACTTGTTTTTAAGGGCAGAAATGTGAAGCAGGGTTTAGGGTTTATGGTAGCAGGGCAACGGCACAACTTGCCGCATTAATATAGAATGCACTGGAAGTGTTTATATGAGCTATTTTGGAACAGCTTTGATGTGGCTCATCCAGTCATTATAATGTCAGTTTTAGCTCTGTGTTGTGTTTACTTGTGATGCTCTGAAACCACACGTATTATTCATTTATGATAATCAAATCTGATCTTTTGATTTGCATCATAGAGTTTTTATTTGCTGGTTGTTTTTCATTTGATTTTTTTTTTTTTCTTAAATAGGCATTGCAGTGCAAAAACATTTTCTTAATCATTATTTTTTTTTTTACTTGTTTTCCTTGTTTAAAAATATATATATTTTAAAGCATAAATGATCAAGTAAAAATAGAGTAAGGTTCGTGTTTAAAATATGAATGTCATTGGAGTAAGACATGTAAAACTTAATTATTTGATTTACTTAATTTATTTTAAGCATAAATCATAAGGTAAAATATAGTGAGGTTTGTTCTTAAAATAATGTTATTGGAGTAAGAAAACTTTTGTAAAAATTTTGTAAAACTTAATCCTTAAATCTACTTATTTATTTCAACTATTTTATTTTATTTTAAGCATAAATCATAAGGTAAAAATAGAGTAAGGTTACTGTTTAAAATAAGAATGTCATTGGAGTAAGAAAACATATATATATATATATATATATATAGATTAAAAAATAGGTTAAGGTAAATATATATATACATATATAGAGTAAGGTTTGTGTTTAAAATAAGAATGTCATTGGAGTAAGAAAACGTTTATATATATATATATATATATATATATATTAGATATAGATTAATGTAATAGATTAATATATATATATATATATATATATATATATATATATTTTACTGGCAGCTTAGTTATATTTTGGTTTGCATTCATCACGTTCTAAATGCAAAAAGAAAATAATCAAATAGATGAAGTATATTTCCTTTCAAATATGTTATTTACTGGATAAGCCGCCACCCCCCCCCCCCCCCCAAAAAAAAAATAAATAAATAAAAAAAAATAAAAAAAACTGTCAGTGATATAACATGATATGTAGTTATGTAATAATAATAACTATTAATATAGCATTACATAATAATATTGAATGTTACATATTGTATATGGTATTCTATCACATTTTTACTGGAATTTATTAATAATATAATCTGACTCTGTGATCACCCGCCTCCCCCAGCACGCGCTTGGCACATGATCTATAGTCTGCTGATGTCTTGGGTTATTTTACATGCAGAGTGACGCTCTTAACCTTGGGAATACAGTTGCGACCTTTTTTTTCTCTCTCTCGGTAGATGCGTCTATTATATTATTGCAGATGTTAGTATCATTTTTTCCTCTTTTGTAATTCACTCACATATTCATGCTATCCCTCCATTTTTCTCCCCGCCTTCATATTCATCTCACCTCTCCATTCCGTATCTGTCCATCTCACACATACCAACACACACACACACACACACTGCGCGCGCTCTCCGCCTGTCAGTCACACTCCCTCTGCGCGCGCGCGCACACACACACACACACACACACACACACAGACAAACACACACACGCGCGCGTCTCTAAATGGATTCTTGCGGAGAGGGGCCGTCCAGAGCATCAATATCAGTCAGCTGTGACACTGCAGTCTCAGTGCAGCGTTTAATAGGTTAGAGCTGTCTTATACCCCTGAGTTTCTCTGATCAAGGGCATGATGCATGCAAAAACAACACACTCGGAAAACACGACGAATTCCCTTGAAACGCATGTAAACAAACCAATACTAGCGATGCTTTCCGGAAAACCTCACTCACAAAATCATCGCATAAAGCGCGCAACACACACTGCATATGCATAATGCGCGTGCATGTCAAGTCTGAAATAAACGCTGAAACATTTCGTCTGCGGATCCATGGATATGAGTGACACGATCACTAAATCTCACTCGTAGACTCACACAAACACATTTTCGTATAAAGCGCAACACACTCTTCATTTGCATAATGCGTCTTCGATATAAACACAAGAGCACGTCATAGTTTTGCGTTGCTTTTGATTTCGGTTGCAAACATAGCTCACATTTCAGCGGACCCATTGACAAATTGCAGTTTCACGTTTAAAGGCTATTGAATAGCTATAACAAATGAGCGTTTAAACACTGAAAATAAAGGTTTCTTATTGGCACCGACGGCTCCACAAATAACCAATTTTAACATCCACGGAATCATTCAATTGCACTTTACAGTGAATAAATGCTCTTTAGAAATATCCCTTAATATACCTTGATTTTTTCGTAGACAGTTTTGACGCCAACACAACACACAAACTATCCCTTTCCTACAGCATCTGTTGCTAGTAAGAGTTGCCAGATATGAGATCAGTGCCGTAGTTTATCTCGCAATACTCGGAACGGGAGTAGTGCAGGACTAAACTGAACTCAGAGCGCAACGGCAAACACATGTGCAGCCTGTTATCCAACACGCCCCCCTGTCCCCATGCATGCGGCTCTGGAGACGCACAGCAGCGCTCAGTCCCCGCCACTCATCCATCCACCCATCCGCTCGCACTGACATGAAGCGCCTTATATGCGGAGAAACGTGCGTCTCTACCTGCGGCGGTGCTGTGCCTGGATCCCGGTCCTCTGGATCAGGTCCTCCTGCAACGCGGAAAATGGCAGATATTCCCTGTCAGTGGCAGACTCGTCTCTCTCCCTGTCTCTCTCTCCTAGTCTCTCTCGCTCTGTTTCACTTTCCTCCTTCCCTTTGCAGCCATGTTCGGAGCGGAGCGGGGCGGGGGCGGGGGTGGACCGAACGGGGTTGGGGGTTCTGTTTGGAGGAGAAGAGACGAGCGTAAAGGAGAGAAAGGGGGCTCAGGGGGATAAGAAAGCAATTAGAGGGCAGTCCTCTCTTACTTCCAGACGGAATGTATAATGGAATTAGCTCAGGGGGGCTCGCGAGCCAGCGAATGTGTGTGTGAATGCTGATCTGTGATGGGGGGAGACCACCTGCTCTAGCGGGGAGAGAGAGAGGACAGAGATGGAGGGAAAGATGTCAGCTTCAAAGGCTGTCTCACAGGTTGGCGATCTCTCATCGGAGCGGCGAAATGCACCGTGTGTGCGCGCGCGTGCGCGTCAAGAGAGAGTGTTGTGTGGATGAGCCGGGAGTTGAAAGACTTCACTTGAGGATAGAGCCATAGACGAGATCGAGAAAGATCACAAACGAGATATTTTTAAATCACTTCTTTCTTGACAGCACTGAGAATTGAACAGAGGACAAATGGAGACCCTGTGAAATCTAAATGGGAGTTTTGAGGTCATTTATATGCTAGGGTACTCGGCCGATGACTCATACTGCACTCACGGACTGATTGCCCAATCAGGTGATGTCTAGAGGGAGAACATACCGCCCCCTTTTGTCACCTGCTACTGATTAGCAAAAGCCATAGCAAAACTTATTTCAAGGCTGTAATGTGAACAAACGTGTTTGAGATGATAGTCACTAATGATCACGCGCGTGAACTCGACAATCCACTACTGTGGGCTTTGACCGAAAACAGGAAGTAAATAGAGGTATGTGAGCTGGCTGAATTAATATCGTTTTTATTAATATCTTTCTGCATCTACTGCAGTCAGATTGACTGTGGTCACTCTTAATAACACCACTCACATGGCTGGGCACTCGTAATGACAAATCAAGGATGTTAAGAGGCTAAAAGCAGGTTTAGAACATGCCCCCACGCCCCCATAAAAAGACGATAACACAGTGTAGGCAACACCGATTTTTGTCATTTTTGTTTGTAACTGACAGCACTCCAAATGTACAATAAAATGAGCTCAATGTTAAAATTGACCGGAGTTCTCCTTTAATGAAATAAAACATTCCTGACAGACTGCCTAAATGTTATTTTTTTAAGTACATTTTAAATGATTGTTTTAATAATCCTTTGCCGCTAAATTTTTATGCGTCGGCCAACATGCTAAAGCACATGTAAAGTAGCCTATCATTTTTGACCGTGGTGTTATAAGATATTACATTTTAAGTTAATATATTTTAAATGTGCTGAATTGTACCTTCACATTAATGTGTATTTAAAAATACTGTATAAATTTCAGTAAAAATTACATAAACAGTATATTGTAGTTATCATGAATGCTTGTACATTCGGCAGTAAGATATTGTAAAACAAAAGACATCACTGACAAAGATGTACGTACTTAAGTGGGCAAAAAAAACACTATTAAGTGCAACTAATTGCATTTAATAATAATTTAAGCTATAATATATTTTCATTTAATGTCGATTATCATTTAATATCCTTAAGTGTCATTACATTTGGTTTTAAAATAGTTAAAGTGTACTAAAAGTGTTTGTAATTTTCAGAAGGGAAGTTCAATATTTGAAAATTCTCAACAGAAATGAACATGAAAGACCAAATGATCAGAGCTGTTATATTAAAAGCCTTAACAAATCTCATTTGGGTCTATTTTTACTAATAGGGCATTTAAGGATAACCATCTGAGATAAAGTAAACACTTAAAAGACATAGCTGAGATCTCCCGAGGTGTTTTCCTCCGGGGAGAAACACTGAGGCTGGAGAGATTTTTATGACGCAGAGTGCCAGTGTGTGTGTGTGCTCACTGACAAGATAAGGTGTGTGTGTGTGTCACAGATTGTGTCATGAATAAAAATAAGCCCAGCATACTAATACCTTTCTGCCTGTAATTGCAAGTCCACGTCTTTATACTCTCTCTACCAACCGTCAAATCAGAATCCAGAATGCAGTCATCAATATCACACTGCACCTCACTTCATAGCTCACTCATCTCAGTCAGAACTCAGAAGTGCAACAATCACACTAAACAACCGGTCTACATTAAAGGACTAGATCTCTGCGTTTCTAAGCGCGCTCTGACTCTGCCTGACAGTATTTCTCTCCGATTGATTTGGGATTTCATTTCTCTCCAGAAATGCGCCACTGTGTGACCTTGAACACACACCACTAGACTGATGTTTTACATGCAGATTTCCTGTCTAGAATATCAAGTTAACACTTCTTTGAATGAATCTACTCTTGTTTTGCTTTAGATTTATTTTGTTGGTGTCAGACTTAAAAAAACTGAGATAAATTCAAATTAAATAAAATTCACAGTAAACAAATTAAAGGGATAGTTCACTTTGTTTTAGCTTACCTCAAGGGTAAGACAAGATGTAGGTGTCTTTGTTTCCACAGTGTTTTCAATTTTGATATTTTTCAGTAAACCGTTCTTGTCTGTCAGTCATATAATGGAGGTCTATGGTCACCACCTCAAAGAGCATGCACAGAGAAGTAAAAATTAAACATGATTTATTGACTCATAAATGTAAGTACACATTGATGGCCTAAGACACGAAACGAGCGGTTTGTGTGAGAAAACGAACAGTATTTATATCGTTTTTACCTCTTGTAACCACAGTCACGTTCAAGTACTCTGAAGGCGCGGGCGCTTCTGTCTGCGCAAGCGCCGGAAAGCGCCGGGTGTTCACTCATTGTTTACAGAGATTTCAGAAGTGTTACCCTTCACTGTGAAGATCTAAACATATTTAGATTTGCAGGAAATCACAACGGAAGACGATGATTTTTTTTTCGAATCGCGCAAGAGATCACTTCCGGCGCTTGCGCAGACCAAAGCGCCCGTGCCTTCAGATCACTTGGATGTGACTGTGGTTACAAGAGGTAAAAACGATATAAATACTTTTCGTTTTCTCACACAAACCGCTTGTTTTGAGTCTTAGGCCATCAATGTGTACTTACATTTACGAGTCATTAAATCATGTTTAATTTGGACTTCTCTGTGCATGCTCTTTGAGGTGGTGACCATAGACCTCCATTATATGACTGACAGACAAAAACGGTTTGACCTAAAAATATCAAAATTGAAAATACTGTGGAAACAAAGACACCTCTTGGATGCCCTTGATGTAAGATAAAACATATAAAAAATTAATTTCAAAGTGAACTATCCCTTTAAATCCATTCAGGCACTGCGTACTAGATAAGGATGCTGCCTTAAATATTCTCTAGTGGAGAGAACATATTTTTATTTTTTGTTATTATTATTATTTAAAAAAAAAACTGCTTTACAGAGGACAATCATTCCTGATTTTAGAATGCACAACCATTCTCGTATTGTTATTGCTCATGTTAATGATCAAAGGAATAGTTCACCAGAAAAGAAAATTCGCAAAAAGAAATATAGCAGAATTTCCTGGCTCCTCTTTTACATACAGTGAACTTCAACAGTGACTGGAGCGGTCACTCCTAAAACAAATCATTCAATAAAGAGATAAATTCCATTACGACACTACATTCTCTATACTCTATGCATTCTGAAATATAGACAGACAGACAGACGGATAGATAGATAGTAATGTTGCAGTTAGACAGGTTCATTAATGGCTTGTTGAGGGGGAGATTGTCACATGCCTCTTTTTTAGGACTCACTAATGAAGCCCCACACCGCAATTAATGAATGTCTGTCGCTTTCTTCTCCTCCATTTAAGTTACTTTAATGGTGAATGAATGCCTGACAGAGGAATCATGTTAATGAGCGCTGGGTGAGGAGAGAGGGAGAGAGAGAGGATCTCTGGGTCAGATGCTCTCATGAGCACATGATCAATCTGTTTGTGTGTGTGTTGGGGGAGAGGGTGTCTCACTGTTACCATAGAGACGAGAGGACAGTGGTCTTGAACATCACTGTTGGGCATGAGGGATGCTCATACTAGCGATGGGAAAGGTTATAAATGCTGGTGTGCATGAAAATAAGAGATGTGGTTGTTCAGACAGAGCAGAAGACACGTCTGTACTGAGGTAGAGCTAAATCTGAGATATTAGTGTTTTCATCTAAACTATTCAACCTCTTGACATGACATCCGGATTTTTGTTGCCTTTGTACTACAGTATAACATGAAAATGTCATGTTCATAGAGTTAAATTAATGTAACATTTCATTTCTGACATGTTTATCCGTTCGTGATATTGTCATTCATCGGCAGATGTGTGAGAATATGTTTACTACTCCGCCAGCTCACGTAAACACAGAAGCGCTGCCATCTAGCGGTGACACAGTGATACACAGATTTGATCAAATATAAATGCAGGCTTGATGTGCACAAGGGACTTAAAAGAATACCAGGCCTAATAATGTGTATGCACATTTTTTGACCAGTAATGTAGGCTACTATTATACTATTGAAGCAAAATTATCAAAAATGTTAAATAATAAGGTTACCATTTTGCGTGTTGTTGTCAGCCTAGACATATAAGCCTGTAGGGCTGGGCTTCATTTAACAAAGCTACGTTAAATACTATGAAACTAACTATGATAGTTTCATCAAATGATAAACGGTGTTTAATAGACTAAATACAAATGACTTGAATACTATTTTGGTGCTGGTTTTGTGCTTTGTAGTCAATTAACATCCAATATTAGTTCAACGACGCAGATTCAGATCGCTTCATAAATGTTAATTCATCTGTGCATGTAATTTTCTAACGATTTATTGATAACGCATGATGAGGGAACGTCTGCCAATTCCACCAACTGCGTTAAACATAGCCTATAATTTGTATTATTTAAAATTACTTTTTAAATTCCAAAGCTTGTAGAAGGTGGCAATACTGACCTGGTAGCCTTGAGTAAATTAACTTGTTTAAGATAATGATTCATAAAATATATAATTATCAGTTAAGTCTATTTATTTCACTGACACAGATGAAAATGAAAGACTATCAGTCAAAGTTCAGGGGGTTTAGGAGTTTAGGAGGGGAAGAAATAGGGCAGGATAAGGAGACTGAGAAAAAGAAAGATGTAGATGAGAGGTAGGCTATTGACAAAATAATCGAATGCCCACTGAGATGGTTTTAAAGCTATTTATTATCCTTTTTTTTTTTTTAGCCTTCAAAAGTCTTAAATTGCACATAATTTGGTCAGAGAAATCTAATTTTTCTCGGGGGAGGCCCCATACCCCACTTTTTGTCCCAGTGTTAAGCAATTTTAACATAGTATTGTCATCAAATCAGTGTAGATGGGCCAAAATAAAACCATTAAAATATCAAGTAAATAAGTGACAGGCTACTTGGTGCCACAGCGACACCCAAAAAGTATTGCTATACCACGATACTCAATATGTTGTCCCACAGTGAGTCATTTTTCTCTGTTGCACCTACACAAAATTTAAGGGTTCCCCCACCTGACAAATCCCACTTTAACAACTGGTACCCCTGTCGTTTTTTTTTTTTTTTTTTTTGGTGCGAAAAAATAAGTTTCTCCAATCTTCTTGAAACTCTGGATTCTGATAGAGGGCCATGAGACTTAGACCTGAGTGCGAAAATGGAGGCTCTAGACCCTTCCAGAGCTGAGATATTGAGATCCCATGTAGCATTTATGCCATTATAAATATCTCAACTCTGGAAGGGTCAAGAGCCTCCATTTTTGTACTCAGGTCTAAGTCCCATGGCCCTCTATCAGAATCCAAAGTTTTGAGAAGATTGGAGAAACGTAATTTTTCGCCCGAAAAAAAAACAAAAAAAAAAAACGAAAGGGGTACCACTGTCGTTTTTTTTTGGGGGGGTTGAATTTTTGAGTTTCGATATCTCAGCTCTGAAAGGGGTTAGAGCCTCCATTTTTGCACTCAGGTCTAAGTCTCATGACCCTCTATCAGAATCCAGAGTTTTGGGAAGATTGGAGAAACGTAATTTTTCGCCCGAAAAAAAAAACGTAAGGGGTACCACTGTCGTTTTTTTTTCGGGCCGAATTTTTGAGTTTCGATATCTCAGCTCTGGAAGGGGCTAGAGCCTCCATTTTTGCACTCAGGTCTAAGTCTCATGGCCCTCTATCAGAATCCAGAGTTTTGGGAAGATTGGAGAAACTTAATTTTTCGCCCGAAAAAAAAAAAACGTAAGGGGTACCACTGTCGTTTTTTTTTTCGGGCCGAATTTTTGAGTTTCGATATCTCAGCTCTGGAAGGGGCTAGAGCCTCCATTTTTGCACTCAGGTCTAAGTCTCATGGCCCTCTACCAGAATCAAGAGGTTTGGGAAGATTGGAGAAACTTAATTTTTCGCCCGAAAAAAAAAACGTAAGGGGTACCACTGTCGTTTTTTTTCGGGCCGAATTTTTGAGTTTCGATATCTCAGCTCTGGAAGGGGCTAGAGCCTCCATTTTTGCACTCAGGTCTAAGTCTCATGGCCCTCTATCAGAATCCAGAGTTTTTGGAAGATTGGAGAAACTTAATTTTTCGCCCGAAAAAAAAAACGTAAGGGGTACCACTGTCGTTTTTTTTTCGGGCCGAATTTTTGAGTTTCGATATCTCAGCTCTGGAAGGGGCTAGAGCCTCCATTTTTGCACTCAGGTCTAAGTCTCATGGCCCTCTATCAGAATCCAGAGTTTTGGGAAGATTGGAGAAACTTAATTTTTCGCCCAAAAAAAAAAACGTAAGGGGTACCACTGTCGTTTTTTTTTCGGGCCGAATTTTTGAGTTTCGATATCTCAGCTCTGGAAGGGGCTAGAGCCTCCATTTTTGCACTCAGGTCTAAGTCTCATGGCCCTCTATCAGAATCCAGAGTTTTGGGAAGATTGGAGAAACTTAATTTTTCGCCCGAAAAAAAAAAACGTAAGGGGTACCACTGTCGTTTTTTTTTTCGGGCCGAATTTTTGAGTTTCGATATCTCAGCTCTGGAAGGGGCTAGAGCCTCCATTTTTGCACTCAGGTCTAAGTCTCATGGCCCTCTATCAGAATCCAGAGTTTTGGGAAGATTGGAGAAACTTAATTTTTCGCCCGAAAAAAAAAACCGTAAGGGGTACCACTGTCGTTTTTTTTTTTCGGGCCGAATTTTTGAGTTTCGATATCTCAGCTCTGGAAGGGGCTAGAGCCTCCATTTTTGCACTCAGGTCTAAGTCTCATGGCCCTCTATCAGAATCCAGAGTTTTGGGAAGATTGGAGAAACTTAATTTTTCGCCCAAAAAAAAAAAAAACGTAAGGGGTACCACTGTCGTTTTTTTTTCGGGCCGAATTTTTGAGTTTCGATATCTCAGCTCTGGAAGGGGCTAGAGCCTCCATTTTTGCACTCAGGTCTAAGTCTCATGGCCCTCTATCAGAATCCAGAGTTTTGGGAAGATTGGAGAAACTTAATTTTTCGCCCGAAAAAAAAAAAACGTAAGGGGTACCACTGTCGTTTTTTTTTCGGGCCGAATTTTTGAGTTTCGATATCTCAGCTCTGGAAGGGGCTAGAGCCTCCATTTTTTCACTCTGGTCTAAGTCTCATGGCCCTCCCGGTCATACCCGGTTTGCTGCCCAGCTCTGGAAGGGGCTAGAGCCTCCATTTTTTCACTCTGGTCTAAGTCTCATGGCCCTCTATCAGAATCCAGAGTTTTGGGAAGATTGGAGAAACTTAATTTTTCGCCCTAAAAAAAAACAAAATGTAAGGGGTACCACTGTCGTTTTTTTTTTCGGGCCGAATTTTTGAGTTTCGATATCTCAGCTCTGGAAGGGGCTAGAGCCTCCATTTTTGCACTCAGAACTAAGTCTCATGGCCCTCTATCAGAATCCAGAGTTTTGGGAAGATTGGAGAAACTTAATTTTTCGCCCGAAAAAAAACAAAACGTAAGGGGTACCACTGTCGTTTTTTTTTTCGGGCCGAATTTTTGAGTTTCGATATCTCAGCTCTGGAAGGGGCTAGAGCCTCCATTTTTGCACTCAGGTCTAAGTCTCATGGCCCTCTATCAGAATCATTCAAGAACATGCGTTGTAGGTCTATCCAATGAGTAGGTCTATCGAGTGCAGAGGCATTTTCTTTCCACAGCCCAGTGGAGCAGAATCAGACTCGCATTCTGACAGGAAGGTCGGGTTAATTCAGTGTTGCTCCTAACCAAATTTTAAGTTTTAGTTTTCATTTAGCCCAAAAATGTATTTAATCAACACTTTTTAATGATATTATTATAGAATATATAGAATTTTCTACTCCAATTCATTGTTGAAATATACGTAGACATTGGCTGTAAATATAACTTGTTTTCATGACAGATTTATTCAAACATACACATAATAATGAAGACTTCACTAACCGGTTAAAGTATAGTACATTTAGCAAAATGCTCCCCGTCTTGCTATGGTAAATATTACATTGTTTGAAAGTGGTTTTATTTACATCTTTCCGCGGTTTAAATACTAAGCGATTACATGAGACATTATGCATTTCACTAAGTTGTACTGTTTTATACTTCCTGATGTTTATTTAATGCTATAATTGGTAGTAAAGAGAATGTATCCTGCTGTGATGTAAACACCCCGTGTGTGTGTGTGTGTGTGCAGGCGATGAGTATGTTCAGCAGTGCTCTAGCCTCCGGTCAGCTCGGCCCTCTCATGAACCAGTTTGGTCATCCCTCTGAAGCAGTTGACGCAGCTAATAAAGGAGGTGAGTTGTTCAACGTCCTCGAATAAACAATTTGATTTCAAAATATATTGAAAAACAGGTAAAATGTTCATCATTTTAATGAACTTTCATTTGCTTTGTCCTGATATATAGATGTGGAGGCGTTTGCCAAGGCCATGGAGGGCAGTGATGCCAAGACCGATGATGGTGATTCCAAAGACAAGAAAGATGATGACGAGAACATGAGCTTGGATTAGAACGGCCTTCTGAACACAACCGTGTCTCTCTGAAGAGTTAGTCTCATATTAGTCTGGGATGTTTGCCTGTAATCATTGATTCAAGTGTGTTTTGTATGTCCAAAGCTACACTATTGAACAATTGACTATGTAATGCCAGTTTGGGTGTGTGTGAAGTTAATTAAAGTGACAAGAAACTTGAAGGAAATGTTTATTGCAAATAAAAATAGTTATTTTAAGCAATATGACAAAAAATATCAAAAGTGACAATATTTCTTGAGTTTTCAACTCCAGTGGTTTTAGATGATAATATACAATGAATCCCTATGGCACACGAGTCTGCTTAGGAACAGCCACAGTAAATTGCTCTTCCTCCAGTGTTTTTAAACATCTAAATATTCCCATAAAACCCATTTAATGGTGTTTGGTCAGGATTGTATCAGTGACATCATGTACTAATTAAAGCTGGAACAAAATAAATCCAGTGCCTTTCCTCTGGTCCTGTCATTGATCAGTGGTGTCTTTCCACTTACAGTGCTTTTCATTTAACTACATACATGGGTGTCATAAAAGTAACCATAAATATCTGTTTACATTAAAGGCTAAGCAAACCCACCACCTGTTGATTTGATAGTGTCAGTGTACGTGGAGTATTTAGGGGTTAATGCAGGTGTGGTCTATAAGGCAGGGCAGCCCTGAGTCCCCACAGATCCAGACACAGATGAGGGTTTTGACAGCATGACAGTCCTGTGGTTGAGTACGGCTTTCCTCACGCACCCATGGAAAGGGAGGACGGCGGATGGGAGACCTGGTACAGCTATGGTATCTGCACACGAGAGGACAAAAGGCTTAATTACATTGAGCATCTTACCTCATTATATCAATGCAAGATTCTTGATTTGAAACCTGATAAGAATTGTAAAAGCGTTCAGGTGTCATACCCGGTTTGCTGCCCAGATAAACGGACTCTTTGCCCCCGTTCCATCCTCTCTGTTTGGGACCCACTACATGTTCACTTGCCAAATCCACGTGTAGCTGGAAGACATTGCTCTTCTTCACAACTAAAATCTCAGCTCTGGAAGGGTCTAGAGCCTCCATATTTGTACTCAGCTCTAAGTCCCATGGCCCTCTATCAGAATCCAGAGTTTTGGGAAGATTGGAGAAACTTAATTTTTCGCCCGAAAAAAAAAAACGTAAGGGGTACCACTGTCGTTTTTTTTTCGGGCCGAATTTTTGAGTTTCGATATCTCAGCTCTGGAAGGGGTAGAGCCTCCATTTTTGCACTCAGGTCTAAGTCTCATGGCCCTCTATCAGAATCCAGAGTTTTGGGAAGATTGGAGAAACTTAATTTTTCGCCCGAAAAAAAAAAAAAACGTAAGGGGTACCACTGTCGTTTTTTTTTCGGGCCGAATTTTTGAGTTTCGATATCTCAGCTCTGGAAGGGGCTAGAGCCTCCATTTTTGCACTCAGGTCTAAGTCTCATGGCCCTCTATCAGAATCCAGAGTTTTGGGAAGATTGGAGAAACTTAATTTTTCGCCCGAAAAAAAAAAAACGTAAGGGGTACCACTGTCGTTTTTTTTTCGGGCCGAATTTTTGAGTTTCGATATCTCAGCTCTGGAAGGGGCTAGAGCCTCCATTTTTGCACTCAGGTCTAAGTCTCATGGCCCTCTATCAGAATCCAGAGTTTTGGGAAGATTGGAGAAACTTAATTTTTCGCCCAAAAAAAAAAACGTAAGGGGTACCACTGTCGTTTTTTTTTCGGGCCGAATTTTTGAGTTTCGATATCTCAGCTCTGGAAGGGGCTAGAGCCTCCATTTTTGCACTCAGGTCTAAGTCTCATGGCCCTCTATCAGAATCCAGAGTTTTGGGAAGATTGGAGAAACTTAATTTTTCGCCCAAAAAAAAAAACGTAAGGGGTACCACTGTCGTTTTTTTTTCGGGCCGAATTTTTGAGTTTCGATATCTCAGCTCTGGAAGGGGCTAGAGCCTCCATTTTTGCACTCAGGTCTAAGTCTCATGGCCCTCTATCAGAATCCAGAGTTTTGGGAAGATTGGAGAAACTTAATTTTTCGCCCAAAAAAAAAAACGTAAGGGGTACCACTGTCGTTTTTTTTTCGGGCCGAATTTTTGAGTTTCGATATCTCAGCTCTGGAAGGGGCTAGAGCCTCCATTTTTGCACTCAGGTCTAAGTCTCATGGCCCTCTATCAGAATCCAGAGTTTTGGGAAGATTGGAGAAACTTAATTTTTCGCCCAAAAAAAAAAACGTAAGGGGTACCACTGTCGTTTTTTTTTCGGGCCGAATTTTTGAGTTTCGATATCTCAGCTCTGGAAGGGGCTAGAGCCTCCATTTTTGCACTCAGGTCTAAGTCTCATGGCCCTCTATCAGAATCCAGAGTTTTGGGAAGATTGGAGAAACTTAATTTTTCGCCCAAAAAAAAAAAACGTAAGGGGTACCACTGTCGTTTTTTTTTCGGGCCGAATTTTTGAGTTTCGATATCTCAGCTCTGGAAGGGGCTAGAGCCTCCATTTTTGCACTCAGGTCTAAGTCTCATGGCCCTCTATCAGAATCCAGAGTTTTGGGAAGATTGGAGAAACTTAATTTTTCGCCCAAAAAAAAAAACGTAAGGGGTACCACTGTCGTTTTTTTTTCGGGCCGAATTTTTGAGTTTCGATATCTCAGCTCTGGAAGGGGCTAGAGCCTCCATTTTTGCACTCAGGTCTAAGTCTCATGGCCCTCTATCAGAATCCAGAGTTTTGGGAAGATTGGAGAAACTTAATTTTTCGCCCAAAAAAAAAAACGTAAGGGGTACCACTGTCGTTTTTTTTTCGGGCCGAATTTTTGAGTTTCGATATCTCAGCTCTGGAAGGGGCTAGAGCCTCCATTTTTGCACTCAGGTCTAAGTCTCATGGCCCTCTATCAGAATCCAGAGTTTTGGGAAGATTGGAGAAACTTAATTTTTCGCCCAAAAAAAAAAAACGTAAGGGGTACCACTGTCGTTTTTTTTTTCGGGCCGAATTTTTGAGTTTCGATATCTCAGCTCTGGAAGGGGCTAGAGCCTCCATTTTTGCACTCAGGTCTAAGTCTCATGGCCCTCTATCAGAATCCAGAGTTTTGGGAAGATTGGAGAAACTTAATTTTTCGCCCAAAAAAAAAAACGTAAGGGGTACCACTGTCGTTTTTTTTTCGGGCCGAATTTTTGAGTTTCGATATCTCAGCTCTGGAAGGGGCTAGAGCCTCCATTTTTGCACTCAGGTCTAAGTCTCATGGCCCTCTATCAGAATCCAGAGTTTTGGGAAGATTGGAGAAACTTAATTTTTCGCCCAAAAAAAAAAACGTAAGGGGTACCACTGTCGTTTTTTTTTCGGGCCGAATTTTTGAGTTTCGATATCTCAGCTCTGGAAGGGGCTAGAGCCTCCATTTTTGCACTCAGGTCTAAGTCTCATGGCCCTCTATCAGAATCCAGAGTTTTGGGAAGATTGGAGAAACTTAATTTTTCGCCCAAAAAAAAAAACGTAAGGGGTACCACTGTCGTTTTTTTTTCGGGCCGAATTTTTGAGTTTCGATATCTCAGCTCTGGAAGGGGCTAGAGCCTCCATTTTTGCACTCAGGTCTAAGTCTCATGGCCCTCTATCAGAATCCAGAGTTTTGGGAAGATTGGAGAAACTTAATTTTTCGCCCAAAAAAAAAAACGTAAGGGGTACCACTGTCGTTTTTTTTTCGGGCCGAATTTTTGAGTTTCGATATCTCAGCTCTGGAAGGGGCTAGAGCCTCCATTTTTGCACTCAGGTCTAAGTCTCATGGCCCTCTATCAGAATCCAGAGTTTTGGGAAGATTGGAGAAACTTAATTTTTCGCCCAAAAAAAAAAACGTAAGGGGTACCACTGTCGTTTTTTTTTCGGGCCGAATTTTTGAGTTTCGATATCTCAGCTCTGGAAGGGGCTAGAGCCTCCATTTTTGCACTCAGGTCTAAGTCTCATGGCCCTCTATCAGAATCCAGAGTTTTGGGAAGATTGGAGAAACTTAATTTTTCGCCCAAAAAAAAAAAACGTAAGGGGTACCACTGTCGTTTTTTTTTCGGGCCGAATTTTTGAGTTTCGATATCTCAGCTCTGGAAGGGGCTAGAGCCTCCATTTTTGCACTCAGGTCTAAGTCTCATGGCCCTCTATCAGAATCCAGAGTTTTGGGAAGATTGGAGAAACTTAATTTTTCGCCAAAAAAAAAAAACGTAAGGGGTACCACTGTCGTTTTTTTTTTCGGGCCGAATTTTTGAGTTTCGATATCTCAGCTCTGGAAGGGGCTAGAGCCTCCATTTTTGCACTCAGGTCTAAGTCTCATGGCCCTCTATCAGAATCCAGAGTTTTGGGAAGATTGGAGAAACTTAATTTTTCGCCCAAAAAAAAAAACGTAAGGGGTACCACTGTCGTTTTTTTTTTCGGGCCGAATTTTTGAGTTTCGATATCTCAGCTCTGGAAGGGGCTAGAGCCTCCATTTTTGCACTCAGGTCTAAGTCTCATGGCCCTCTATCAGAATCCAGAGTTTTGGGAAGATTGGAGAAACTTAATTTTTCGCCCAAAAAAAAAAACGTAAGGGGTACCACTGTCGTTTTTTTTTCGGGCCGAATTTTTGAGTTTCGATATCTCAGCTCTGGAAGGGGCTAGAGCCTCCATTTTTGCACTCAGGTCTAAGTCTCATGGCCCTCTATCAGAATCCAGAGTTTTGGGAAGATTGGAGAAACTTAATTTTTCGCCCAAAAAAAAAAAACGTAAGGGGTACCACTGTCGTTTTTTTTTCGGGCCGAATTTTTGAGTTTCGATATCTCAGCTCTGGAAGGGGCTAGAGCCTCCATTTTTGCACTCAGGTCTAAGTCTCATGGCCCTCTATCAGAATCCAGAGTTTTGGGAAGATTGGAGAAACTTAATTTTTCGCCCAAAAAAAAAAAACGTAAGGGGTACCACTGTCGTTTTTTTTTCGGGCCGAATTTTTGAGTTTCGATATCTCAGCTCTGGAAGGGGCTAGAGCCTCCATTTTTGCACTCAGGTCTAAGTCTCATGGCCCTCTATCAGAATCCAGAGTTTTGGGAAGATTGGAGAAACTTAATTTTTCGCCCAAAAAAAAAAACGAAAGGGGTACCACTGTCGTTTTTTTTTCGGGCCGAATTTTTGAGTTTCGATATCTCAGCTCTGGAAGGGGCTAGAGCCTCCATTTTTGCACTCAGGTCTAAGTCTCATGGCCCTCTATCAGAATCCAGAGTTTTGGGAAGATTGGAGAAACTTAATTTTTCGCCCAAAAAAAAAAAACGTAAGGGGTACCACTGTCGTTTTTTTTTTCGGGCCGAATTTTTGAGTTTCGATATCTCAGCTCTGGAAGGGGCTAGAGCCTCCATTTTTGCACTCAGGTCTAAGTCTCATGGCCCTCTATCAGAATCCAGAGTTTTGGGAAGATTGGAGAAACTTAATTTTTCGCCCAAAAAAAAAAAAAAAAAACGTAAGGGGCTAGAGCCTCCATTTTTGCACTCAGGTCTAAGTCTCATGGCCCTCTATCAGAATCCAGAGTTTTGGGAAGATTGGAGAAACTTAATTTTTCGCCCAAAAAAAAAAACGTAAGGGGTACCACTGTCGTTTTTTTTTCGGGCCGAATTTTTGAGTTTCGATATCTCAGCTCTGGAAGGGGCTAGAGCCTCCATTTTTGCACTCAGGTCTAAGTCTCATGGCCCTCTATCAGAATCCAGAGTTTTGGGAAGATTGGAGAAACTTAATTTTTCGCCCGAAAAAAAAAAACGTAAGGGGTACCACTGTCGTTTTTTTTTCGGGCCGAATTTTTGAGTTTCGATATCTCAGCTCTGGAAGGGGCTAGAGCCTCCATTTTTGCACTCAGGTCTAAGTCTCATGGCCCTCTATCAGAATCCAGAGTTTTGGGAAGATTGGAGAAACTTAATTTTTCGCCCAAAAAAAAAAACGTAAGGGGTACCACTGTCGTTTTTTTTTCGGGCCGAATTTTTGAGTTTCGATATCTCAGCTCTGGAAGGGGCTAGAGCCTCCATTTTTGCACTCAGGTCTAAGTCTCATGGCCCTCTATCAGAATCCAGAGTTTTGGGAAGATTGGAGAAACT